CAGTTCCTATCTGTACCAGTGTACATCCTCTGGTCTACCCAGATTTATAAGGTAGAACTGGGATCATGATGGGGGGAGGAAGCATTTAGGAGCTAGAGGAAAGTTTTGTAGTTTCATTGTTGCTACACTGCACCCTGACTGGCTCGTCTTCTGGTACTTATTCTTGAGTATACCCCATTGGTGGGGAACTCACTGTCTGCAGAGTTCTCTATGTGAAGCATCTGTAGCTTCTGCTTATCAAAGAAAACTGAGAGCTTCTTATAATTTGGAAACGGGGGGCCAGCAGGTTGGATTTAGGAATTCAAAATATGAGTTTTTCATTAAGAATTAAGACTAGTGGCTTGCTAACTTAATGTGCAGTATTCAAGGTTAACGAAAATGTTTTGAAACATGTCTTTAAACAAGATAATTCTTCTAGTGCTAATTTATGCTTATGCTAAAAATGAAATATTCAAGGTTAATTTTCTATATGACATTTTTCTTTAGCATTTGAAGTTTTTGAGTTCTTTGAAACCTCTTAGGTTCAACTTCTTCCTAAGACTGATTCTAAATGGTGGTGTTTCACTTTTCTAGGTTTGACAATGGCTCTTTGTTATGACAATGGCTCTTTGTTATTCTTGAAATCTCATGTTAACATCAATGTGTGCACAGATCTGTTTCAGCTTGTTAAATTTAAAAGGTTTAGGTTATAGGAAAGAAGACCTGGTGGCACCATGAGTTAGGAATTAGGCTGCTAACCCCAAGGTTGGTGGGTCAAACCTACTCTAAGGGAGAAAGGGAAAGCTATTTGCTCCCCCTACAGATTTACAGCTTCTGAAACCCTATAGAGTCAATATTATGTGCAATCAACTTTAAGGCGGGTTTTCTGGGCTGGGTTTGTAATAACTAAAAGAAGAAGTATATTATAGCAACAATTCAAGACAATACCTTAAATGTATTGACCATAGAGTGTGACTGGCACTTTAGGTATGTGGATCTTTCTTGCAAGCTATAATTATGTAAGACTTTGTGTTAGGCTTCTGTGGACAAGAAGCAGAGGTTCTGCCTACAGTAATTTCAAAGGAACCTATGTAGGGTGTACTTTCTTTGTGTTCCAGTGAGCTCTTCTCCCCATCTCAGAAGTACCAGCTGTTGGTGTATCACGCAGATTCGCTGTTTCATGATAAGGAGTACCGGAATGCTGTGAGTAAGTACACCATGGCTCTGCAGCAGAAGAAGGCCCTAAGTAAGACTTCCAAAGTGAGACCTTCAACTGGCAATTCTGCATCTACTCCCCAGAGCCAGGTAATGGAGCCAGAAGTGGGGATTGATTTTTGTTTGTTCGAGAAAGAGGGAGAGTAAAAGAATTGAGAAACAGTTCAAGTGGTGATAAAATGAAAAATAATTTTAAAGAGAAGCTGACTAGAGAAGTAAGAGTGAAGAACCACATTTGGGATGTTAGGATGCATCCCAGCAAGCTGAGCGCTTGGGCTAAGAGCAGAATTCACTCTAGGAATCTGAACATGAAATGAAACATCGTCTGGGCCTACCAGAATCATGTGTTTTCCTTCTGTTTTATGCAAACAACTCAAGACTTAAAGTGTTCATAATTTTAATGGCAATGTTGTGGTTAGGTGCCATTGAATCAGTTCCAATCCATATTGACCTTAAATACAAAATACTGGCTGTTCCTTTGCCATACTCACAATTGTTCCTTTGCCTGAGCCCATTGTTGCAATAATAGTGTCAGTCTATCTCATTGAGGGCCTTCCTCTTCTGTACCAAGCATGATGTCCTTCTCCAGGAACTGATTTTTCCTGACAACATGTCCAAAGTATGTAAGACAAAGCCTCACCATCTGTGCCTGTAAGGAGCATTCTGGTTGTTCTTCCAAGACAAACCGGTTTGTCCTTTTAGCAGTCCATGGTACTTTCATTTTCTCCAGCACCACAATTCAGATGCATATTCTTCAGTCTTTTTTATTGTGTCCAAATACCATGGCTTGAGTGAAGCACACTTTAGTCTTCAAAGTGATATCCTTGCTTTTTAGTACTCTAATCTGTGCAACAGATTTACCTAATGCTTTTGATCTCCTGACTACTACTTCCATAAGCATTGATTGTGGAGCCAAGCAAGACAAAATCCATGACAACTTAACTTTCTCTCCATTGACCATGACCTTTTGGTCCAGTTGTGAGGCTTTTGTTTTCTTTTTGTTGAGTTGTAATCCATACTGAAGACAGCAGTCTTTGACCATCAGCAAGTGCCTCAAGTCCTCCTCAGCTTCAGCAAGCAAGCTTGTGTCATCTTACATTGCAAGTTAATAAGCCTTCCTCCAATAGTGGTGTCACTTTTTTTTTCATATAAGCCAGCCTCTCGGATTATTTGCTCAGCATACAGATCGAATAAGGATGGTGAGAGGATACAACCCTGTCACACCTTTCCTGATTTTATCTTATTAAAATTTTTTTTTAAATGTTAGTCATTTTATTGGGGGCTCATATAACTTTTTTTAAAATTTTAATGTGCAAAAATTATTTTTTAATCATTTTATTAGGGGCTCATACAATTCTTATCACAATCCATACATATATCAATTGTGTGAAGCACATGTGTACATTCATTGCCCTCATCATTCTCAAAACATTTGCTCTCCACTTAAGCCCCTGGCATCAGGTCCTCATTTTTTCCCCTCCCTCCCTGCTCCCCCCTCCCTCATGAGCCCTTGATAATTTATAAATTACTATTTTGTCATATTTTGCCCTGTCCGACGTCTCCCTTCACCCACTTTTCTGTTGTTCGTCCCCCAGGGAAGAGGTCGTGTGTAGATGCTTGTAATCGGTTCCCCCCTTTCCAACCCACTCTCCCTCTACGCTCCCAGTATGGCCACTCACACCACTGGTCCTGAAGGGATCATCTGTCCTGGATTCCCTGTGTTTCCAGTGCCTATCTGTACTAGTGTACATCCTCTGGTCTAGCTAGACTTGTAGAATTCGGATCATGATAGTGGGGTGGTGGGGGCAGGAAGCATTTAGGAACTAGAGGAAAGTTGTATTTTTCATCGTTGCTACATCGCACTCTAACTGGCTCATCTCCTCCCCGAGACCTCTCTGCAAGGGGATCTCCAGTGGCCTACTAATGGGCTTTGGGTCTCCACTCCGCACTCCCGGCCTCATTCACTATGGTAAGATTTTTTGTTCTGATGAAGCCTTATACCTGATCCCTTTGATACCTCATGATCCCATAGGCTGGTGTGCTTCTTCCATGTGGGCTTTGTTGCTTCTGATCTAGATGGTCGCTTGTTTACCTTCAAGCCTTTAAGACCCCAGACACTATACCTTTTGATAGCCGGGCACCGGCTCATACAACTCTTAACACAATCCATACATACATCAATTGTGTAAAACACATTTGTACATTTGCTGTCCTCATTCATTCTCAAAACATTTGCTTTCTACTTGAGCCCTTGGTATTTTTCTCCCTACCTTTCCTGATTTTAAACCACATGGTATTCCCTTATGTTCACACAACTTCCTCTTGATCCAGGCACAAGTTCTGCATGAGCACAATGAAGTGTTCTGGAATTTCCATTCTTCTTAAAGTTATCCCTAATTTGTTGTGATGTACATATTCAAATGCCTTGGCATAGTCAATAAAACACAGGTAAACATCCTTAACGTAAGGTGACCAGATTTTAACATTGGTAAAGTGGGACTCCATTGATAAAACTCATATCCTGGCGAAATAGCCACATGGCAGCCAAAAACCGTATACTCTAGCTTGTCATGCATTCTTTCCAAAACTCAGGACTTCTTAAAAGCGCCGCGGGATGCGGGAAAATTTGTTAAAAATTGGGACTGTCCCGCCAAAAGCGGGACGTCTGGTTACCTTACCTTAACGGCATTACAACTTTTAAAATGCTATATAGTTGTTAGGACTGTGAGTACCAGAGAAAATTCATAGAAAATAATTTGAGTTCCTGATGATTTTGGTTCCTTAGGGGGGGTGGGGGACGGACGGACCATAAATACTCGAGTATAAGCCGACCCGAATATCAGCTGAGGCACCTAATTTTACCACAAAAACTACATAAAAGATGTGTTGAAAACTCAGCTTGTACACGAATATATACAGTACTAGTTACATAAGAGGGAAACATCTGAGCTACAGGGAGCCTTACCATCTAAGCTGCTCACTGAAGATTTACTTCCAGTAGGTCAGCATTTGCAAAAAAAGTGTCCATTAGGAGGATCTGGTTTTAGTCTAGCTTCTCTTGGGCATTTCATACATGTAGAATCATACAATGTATGGCCTTTCATGCCTGACTTCTGTCAGCATCATGTTTTTAAGGTTATCTATGTTGTCATTCTTTTATGAGTAATATTCTTCTGTATGCATGGGCCACGTTTGCTTATCCATTCTTCAGTTGATAGACATTGAGATTATTTCTACATTTTGGCTTTTATGGTGTCTTACAGTAAGGTTGCTGGGAAGATCTGTGTACAAGTTTTTGTGTGGGTTTATGCTTTCACTTAGCTTTAACACATACCTACAGGTGGGATGGCTGAGTCCTGTGTGAACATTTGGAAGAAATACTTAGCAGTTGAAATATTTTGAAGAGATATTGTCTTTGCCTTTTAGTGTCTTCCATCTGAAATTGAAGTGAAATACAAAATGGCTGAATGCTATACCATGCTAAAGCAAGATAAAGATGCCATTGCTATCCTTGACGGGATCCCTTCAAGACAAAGAACTCCCAAAGTAAGTTGGTGTTCTGTCTCCTTCCCCCTGTTTTTTCCTCCATCAGGGAATCCAGCAAAGCTCTAATTCAGGAGCCACACTTTGCTCTCCTGCCGATACAGTGGGCTAAGCAGGTAGATGAGACCTTGAAAATTCAGCTAGTGAAAATAGTAGCTGCAGAATACATGTGCTTGTTCATTTTGGTATTTCTGGGAAACCCTGACTTGTTGTTCTTCCCTCCCTGTCCATTCATGTACCCATTTGATCAGCCAATGGCTTCGTTACCCCTGCCCGCTTTTCTCTTGTCCTAAATCAAAACCACGTATTTTCTTAGTACTTGTTTGTAGTTTTATATGAGATATGAATTCATATTTTGCTTGGTGGCATATTATAAGGAAGGAAACACCTTTAACTGAAATCTAAACAGCTGCTATCTTGTTCAGATCATATAGGCTGTGTGCATTGCAAACTCCGTTAAGTTCCCAGTCTCTGAGCTTTTTTTTCTTATTTATGAGAATTCGTTTTAATATTTTCTGTAACTTTTATGAAAAATAGAAGTTCCAGTATGTGAGAGTACTGTACTTTATTATTGTTGGTGTGTTGTGAATTGAGTAGGAGGTTTACGTTTCAGATCATCAACTCAGCATCAACCCACTCTTCAAATCATTTGCCAGTTCCCCCCTCCCCCCTCCCTTTCACTTCTTCTTTTGGTCCTCTGTCTTCCCTTTCACCCAGTCAGTACCAGTCAACTTTCTAGTCCATTGCTGTATCTTCCCTCCTTTGCACCTCCCACCCACCTCCATCTCAAACCTCTAATGTCTATTCCCTTCGGTGTTTATTCTGATAGTAGTGGTGTCTTACAATACCAGTCCTTTTGTGATTGATTAACTTCACCTAGCACAATGATCTCTAGGTCCATCCACGTTATGAGGTTTCATCATTGTGTTTTGGTTGACTCATAGTTTCCCTTTGTCTTTATGTACCAAAGTTTGCTTATCCAGTCTCTGCTGATGGGCATTTGAGTTGTTTCCAACTTCTTGCTATTGTGTACAACACTGCAATGACCATGTGAGTGCATGTATCTTCTCGTGCTATGTCCCTTACTTGTTCAGGGTAGATACCCAACAAAGGTGTTGCTGGATCATAAGGAATTTCTATTCCCAGTTGTTCGAGGTGTTGCCATATCACTTTCCATAATGGTTGTACAATATGAGTACTTATTAAAAGATTATTCTGGAAGCATCTTCAAGGGTGTGTGTTTGAAATCC